CAACTGTTTAGTCCCAAATAAACACACAAAGGCTTTTATTAGTAGAAACTGTTTGGCCCATGGTTCAGGCTTCTTATTAGCTAGCTCTCTTTTTAATTATTAACCCATTTCTATTAATCTGTATATCTCCATGTATTCTTGGCTTAACAATGATGCCCAGATCTCTTGCTTCCTCGGTAGCTACATGGCATCTCCCTGACTCCAGCTACTACCTTTCCCTATTTCTGTTTGGATTTCCCACCTAACTAATTCCTGCCTGTCCATCAGCCAAAACAGATTTATTTATCAACCAATAAGAAATTCACAGCACACAGAAGGACATCCCCTATCATCTCATCTTTTGTGCTTAAATAAAAAGGAAGGTTTTCAACTTTGACATAGTAAAATTACATATAACAAAAGTTGCCAAGCAAAATTTATACTTAAAATATTTAATCCACTAGCATTTAGCAAAATTTAAAGAAAAAATTTTATCGTCTCCTTGTGAGTATAGAGTTTTATATGTAACTTGTCCTTTATCATAACTAAGGAAAATTATAACCCTATCTTTCTTCAACTCCATCAAAGACCTCAGAAGGATATAATATAAACTCTAGAATTGACCGAAACATCTCACTGCCTGGACAAGTCACCCAAAGTTTCTCTGTAATGATGTGGCATCCATGTTCAGCCCATAGGCCATAGTGTCTGGCAGACTTTCTAATGATGTAGGAAATTTGAAGATCTGTTCTATCTTGTATTAGCTAAATTCATCAGTTGAATTCTTTTGATAGCAACCCTGAAGGACCATCCTGTCTCTTGGCAAGTTCAACAGTCCCTTTCCTTTGTAATCTGCTTGTCCAATTTGGACAGTGTGCTTATTGTCAGAAGTTGAGGTAAGGGCAGTATTTTTTGCCCAATAGGCCAGTTTTGCCATATTGAAGCCAAACTCCATAATGAGTTTCTTCGATGCCCGCCTTCCTTTCTGACATAATTGGTGTTGCCAGGAGCAGTTGTGTATCATTGTTATGAAAAACCTTAATAAACCATTAAATAACATAACCTATAGGTCTTTGAAAGGTTTTGAAAAATACCTATCCATTTGAAATATACTTCTGTGAATCTAGAAAACCTAACAAACATAATTTTTGACTATTATAGGTGATTATAATCTGTATTTGATTACATTCATTTTTAAATAAGCTGTATAAACCCAATACCTATACAAGAATAGAAATATACATATAACAAAATTGACCTTAAATTTTGTCAATAAACCAAAATCCATACCAATATGAAGTATTCATTTCCATATCATACTCCATTTTTTCTTTAGAAAGAGGTTCACTGTGATCATTAACCATTTATAACCACCCCTGTTAAATGAAAACAAACATTTATAAACAATATTTTGGAACTTCCAAACTACTTCCTGCTCTTTGGGGGCACTGTCAATCCCACAAGGATCCTGAGGAAACCCAGAAACCTGGCCAAATCCAGGATGTAGTAGTTTGTAAGGCTACAACATCACAGCTGTTTTGGATGTTGGAGCACTTAGGTCACTGCTTCAGGGCTCTTGTTTAATCAAAACATATTAGTCCAGAAGGGATACACAGCTTTTTATCTTCTCTGGAAACAAAAGGAGAACCTCTTTTCCAAAGTAATATGTCCTTAGACTTAAATTTTGAAAATGCTTTGACTTCAAAATTTAAGTCTAAGGACATATTACAGTTGAATTAGTCTAGCAGCATTTAAAACCAAATGTCTTTTAGCAGCTCTTGCTCCTCTCTCAAAAATCAAACAATTCAAAGATAACACAGTAACATATAGTATCCAGACTCTCTGTGTATGTTCCATCTTTACATGACTTTTTTTTATTACCCTATTTCTTCTATTTTTACTTTTTATTTTGGTGGGTTTTGTAAGACAGGGTTTCTCTGTGTATCTTTGGCTATCCTGGAACTCTGTAAATCAGGGTGGCCTTGAAAGCTCAGAGAGTCTGCCTCTGCCTCTGGAATGTGGGGACTAAAGACATATGCCACCACTCCCATCCACTCTGTTTCTTTTTTAAGGACTTTCTCTATCCTTTTTCTTTTTTCTCCCAAGCCTATGTATGTTTTTAAACACACTAGGAACAATTTTGAGGTTTTACTTCATCTGAGTCAGTCTTTACTGTATGGAAAAAGATATTTTTTGATCACATGAGTCTTCAATTTGCTAAACAGCATGGCTAAGTTTAAAGTGGAGGCTGGGCTCTTCCCCCTCTTTGGCTTCCTGAGAGTCTAGCTTTGTGGCAGAGGTCCTGGTGGGAACCATGTTTAGTGCCACAACTCTGCAGAGTTTTCTACATCCATGTCAGCACCAAGAAGCATGCTCATCAATACCACTTACGTGTTTGGTAGCAGGGCCTCTTAAAAGAGCCCAAAGGTTTTTTATTGCTAACACTGAATCAGGAAGCCTTTCTTAAAGGAGCTGCGCTTCTGCTTACCTATAGCAAACAGAGCCCACCCTAGAAAATGCTGCTACCAAGAAGCTGCACTTTATTTGCTTCTTTTGCGTTCAGAATCTCTTTTAAAGCTGTTGTCAAGTAATACATGGAAATTTCTGCCTCACATTGGGAGCCATGTGTACATGGAAGTTTCTGTTCCACCTGGTCCTGCAACCATTTAGTCCCCAATAAACACACAGAGGCTTATGTTAATTATAAAGTGTTTGGTCCATGGCTCAGGCTTCTTATTGATTATTGACCCATTTCTATTCATCTGTATATCTTCATGTGGTCGTGGCTTAGTGGTGATGAGCTAATGTCTGGCTTCCTTGGCAGCTATTTGAATCTCATCTCCTTGAGTCTGTCTACTTCTTTTCTCTATCCCTGATTTGATTTCCTGATATAGCCTGTCCATTGGTGAAAGCTGCATTATTCATCAACCAATAAGAGAAACATGTATTTACAACATACAGAAGGACACCCTCCATCACATGTCCCTCTTGCCAAAGCTCAGGGAACATTTTCCAATGGGTTATCTCCCTCCAGCTTCTAGATCAAAGTGGCTGTTACACTCTTGAACTCACAACATCTATGATTACATAAACAAGATTTGGCTCATTAACTCCCTTCCAGGAAGGTGCAGAGGTTCATGTCCTCTGACCAAAGATTTATATGTAGTCAAAGACTGATGCAGAAAGGAGAGAGATTTTTAAGGTTACTGTGCTTCTGTATACAAATCCTCACTATGTTCTCCAAAATGACCACAGTGAAAATTACTGGGACACACACACACCTCAAGAGTGCAAAGAGAGACAAAGAGAAGGTGACAGGGAGAGGGGGATAATGTAATTGATCACTTTATTTACATGTATTAAAATATAATGAGGAGGCTGGAGAGAAGACTCAGTGGTTAAGAGCATTGAATGTTCTTCCAGAGGACCCAGGTTCAATTCCCAGCACCTACATGGCAGCTAACAACAGTCAGTGACTCTAAGATCTGACACTCACTCTCACTCAGCCATGCATGCAGGAAAAACACCAAAGCAAATAAAATAAATATAAATAAATGATAATAAGCCCATCATTATGTGTATCAAACATGAGCTAATAAAAAATTACAAATAAAATTAAAATAACTACAAGAATGGATTTGCCCAATCAGATACCAGATTTACCCGAAGCTTTGGTGCTAGATCATGGATTAACTAATGGAATTGTTACAAATGGAATGTTTGTGTTCTCTATGGATTCATGTCCTGGCATGGGGCCTTTGAGGAAGCAACTAAGAATAAATAGAAAACTTAAGGTTGGGATCATGATCCAAAACCATTAGTAGCACTATAGGAAGACACAGGTTATGTGATGTGTCTCCAATGAAAGGTCATATGAAGATAGAGAGGGAAGGGCAGGTGTCTACAGCCAGCGAGAGTGCTTTTTCTTGGTCTTGCAGCCCCCACACTGTGAAAGGATAAGCATCTGTTGTTCAAGCCACCCAGCCTATTTTATAATGATGTGTTAAAGTAGGAGGAGATCAGAGAATCCAGACTTATATACATACTGTGTCTTATTTAAGACAGAGGTAGCATTGAAAGCCCTGGGACAGCAGCTGGAGTGTTGGCTGCTCTTGTAGAGGACCCAGGTTGGTTTCCCAACATCCAAGCAGCTCTAGTTCCAGGGATTCCAATGCCATCTATGGTATTATAAAGCAACACACATTTGTTATGATTACATACGTGCAGGCAACACACTCAAACACATAAAAGAAAAGTAAACAAAACTCTTTTCCTAACACAGTTGGGCAGAAAGTTAAATGAGAGTACATAGGGTTATTGGCAGAAGAAAGTGTACATCCCACTAAAATTAAAAACAATTTAAAATTTAGACATTCTAAGGAAAAAAACAAGTAATAGAAAATGGGACAATGGACATAAAATACATAGAATTTTGGTTGCTTTTATGCTGAGTTGGGGGAAGAAAGCTTGTATGTGGTAAAGGAAGACCAAATCCCCAAGGACTGAAAAGAAAAACATTGATGAAGGAGGAAGCAATCAGGGAAGGAGGTACAGGGGAAAGGCAGGGTTCGGGTGAAGAAGGGAGCTGCAAGGCTCCCAATGTGAAGTCAGAGAGCAAGAACCTCCTACCTGCAATTCTGCTGATGGAAACTCCAGAGAGGAGAGCACAGAAATGATGAGGGGAATTAACTAACAGAGATGCCATGAAGTAGTCAGTTTCTGCATTTATTTACATGAATACTGATAGGCACCAGATACCTGGTTTTGTAAGCCAGATGGTATCTTCTGTCTTGCCTGTGCTAACAGCAGTTAAGTTTGGACTGTGTTCTACACTCACAGAGGCCAGCAGGGAGGCACTGATTGTTCTGCTTGGCCAGAAACATATTTGACTTTGTACATTTTGTTTTAAATCATTGGGGTGGGGGATGGGGGTTGAACATGGTTTCATGGAGGAAACTGTGTTGTGTTTGGGGTGGATGAGGCACAGCTATCTAAGACCAGCTTATCTCTTCCACTTTCAGGAAATCTTCAATGACCTCTTCGCCTTTGTGTTCCTGGTAGGCGGCATAGTCTTTGCTGCAAAGGCTAGACGAGTGATGCCACAGCCCTACTTAACAGCTGTGGTGAGGTGTTTCTGCTGAGCTGTGGATTTCCTCAAATCACTGCCACATGAATCCTAGGGTCAGGGCCTGGGTTGCAGCTGAGTCTCTGGAGGGCTGGTCTAGCCTTATCTATGGCACTGTGAGAAACCTTTCTTAGTACCACATGCCTACCTATAATGGTGACACTCAGGAGGTAGAAACAGAGGATCTAAAGCCCAAAAGCCTTGGCTCAATAGTGAGTTTAAGGCTAGCCTGGGGTACATGAGACAAACAAAGAAAGAAAACTTGGTGTGAAAACAAATCTAAGAAGCTGGTAAATGTTTCTAGTGAAGAAGACACATTTTTAAAGATGGTGTCTAGGAAGGCAGCCAAGTTACCTGTGATCCTTATGAATGTCAAAAGAAAGGAAAAAGAAACAAGCTGAGGGGACACTGGGCATGAAGCCTGGGAGAGCAGTGTGATGGAGGCTCTGGGATTGAGGCCTTTAGGGGTGCACTGTGCCTCAACTGTGATGATAGACCAAGGAGGGAATCTGTACTTTCCTTCTGTGTTAATAATCAAAATAATGAAGATCCACTTGTTTTCCTAGATCCTTATGGGAGTTGCTGCGATTTTGGCTATTGTGGACCTATGTCTTCAAAGGAGACACCTCAAAGGCAAGAAGATCCCGAAGGGTATTCTGACACAAACAAGCCTCGGTTTACTGATGGAGACAGTTACCAAAAAGGAAGAGGCAGCCATCCGAAAGGCAAATGATGCAATTGAGAAAGCAGAAAAGGAGAGAAGGAAGATGGAGAAAAAGAAGTGAATGGACAGCAACACCAGATCCGCAATGGTAGCGAGCTTTGTGGCCTGGCCTTCCTACACTCTCCCCTTGGTGGCCTTCTAGTCTACTTTCCTTTGCCATCAATAAACACCTCTTGGAAAGTAAATTTCTTTTTAAACAGATTTTATACTAGAAGTTGAACAATAATTTGTCCAGTGCTCTTCATCCCACAGAAACTCCTAGATATGTGAGTGCTGAGGGCAAGGCCCCAAAGGGATCATGACCCCCACCCCACAGGTTGAGAACCACTGCCCTAGATGGTCTAGCCACCTGAAAGGGAGTCATCTCCTGCAGGAAAAGTGAAGACTCCAGCAGACATCTAAGGGAGGGGATCTGTAAGGAGAAGCCTGGAGTCCTGAGCCGAAGATGGAGAAACGAACAAATGGTGTTCTTCTGAGTGCATGGCAGACCTTCTCATTTCAGATGTGTACAGCACAGGAGATAGCACCAGGTTCTTGTTTCAAGAATTCAAAAAATTGAGTCCACAGACAAAGGCTGAGTTTTGAAGGAGATTGGAGATGGTTCTATGGTTAAAGCATCCTGCACTTAGAGAGGACCCCAGGTAGGGTGTCTGACAGCAACCTGTCACCCAGCTCCACAAGTGCAACCCCACTCAATTCACATGCCCCACACAGAAAAATATACACACACATAATAAACCTTTAACAAAACATAAAAGAGAAAGCTTAAGGATAAAAATTTAAAAATTTGGGGCAGAAGGACTAGAGAGATGGTTCATTGGTTAAGAGCACTAGCTGCTTTTCCAAGGGACCCAGTTTCAGTACCCAGCATCCCTATGGTGACTCATGAGATATTCCATGAGAAAACCAAATATAAATAATACCTATTCACAAACATCCCTAAAGAAAATACCAGAAGGGAAATGCCAACCCAAGGATATTACCTATGTCCACAAGAACACAGGAAATACATGAGCTTACAGCAGCAAATCCCAAAGGAGAGAATTGCACACGCAATGCCATCACCAACATGCCATCACCAACAACAAAAACAAAAATAACAGGAACTAGCAATCACTGGTCACTAATATCCATTAATATAAATGATCTCAATTCACCTATAAAAAGACACAGGCTAACATATTGGATACAAAAACAGAATCCATCCTTCTGTAGCATACAAGAAACACACCTCAAACTCGTAGAAAGACATAGTAAAGGGTTGGAAAAACAAATTTTCCAATGAAATGGACCAATAAACAAGGTGGTGTACCTATCTTAATATCTAACAAAACAGGCTGTAAATTAAAATCAATCAAAAATATAAAGAAAGGTATTTCATATTCATCACAGGGGAAAAAAATTCAAATCTCAATTCTGATCACATATGCCCCTAATACAAGGACTCCTGTATATGTAAAAGCAACATTACTGAAGTTTAAATCACAAAGCAAGCCCCATACACTAATAGTGGGAGACTTCAACACCCCCTCTCACCATTGGACAGATATGCCAGACAGCTTAACAGAGATAAGGGAACTAACTGAGGTTACGACTCAACCCAAACACAAAAGAATATACTTTGTTTTCAGCACCTCTTGGAACCTCTCAAAAACTGACCACGTACTCAGTAACAAACAGACACAAAAAATTGGAATAGATCCCTGTACCCTATCAGATCACCATAGCTTAAAATTAGAATTTAACAGCAACATTAATTTTAGAAAGTCCAAAAACACATGGGATTTGAGCAGTGATCAACAGAACCACCACTTGGTAAAGAAAGAAAAAAAGACTTACTAAAATTTATTGAAAATGACTGCACAACATACTCAAACTTATGGGACACAATAAAAGTACTGCTGAGAGGAAAGTTTATAGCAATAAATTCCTACATAAAGAAATTAGAAAAATGGCACACTAGTTAATTAACAGAACTGAAAGCACTAGAACAAAAAGAAGCAAACTCACCCAGGAGGAGTAGATGGTAAGAAATAGTAAAATTGAGGGCTGATATCAATGAAATAGAAACACAGATTGCTGATCTCCAAAATATACAAAGAACTAAAAAACTAGTCAACAAAACACCAAATAACCCTATTAAAAATGGGGTACAGAACTGAATAGAGAAATCTCAATAGAGGAAGTCAGAAAGGCTGAAAAACACTTTAAAAAGTGTTCCACATCCTTTGCAATCAGGGAAATGCAAATCAAAACAATTTTGAGATACCAACTTAGTCCTGCCAGAATGGCTAAAATTAGAAACACCAATGACAACTCATGCTGGAGAGGATGTGGAGAAAGGGGAACACTCCTCCACTGCTGCTGAGAGTTCAAACTTGTACAGCCATTTTGGAGATTAGTATGGCTGCTCCTCAGAAAAATGGGAATCAGTCTACCACAGGACCCAGCAATCCCTTGCTTAGACATAAACCCAAATGATCCACATCCACGCAACAAAGACATCTGTTCAACTATGCTCATAGCATCATTATTTGTAATAGCAAGAACCTGGAAGCAACCTAGATGGCCCTCATCTGAAGAATGGATAAAGAAGATGTGGAAAAAAAAAAAAACCAATGTAATCTTGAAATTCACAGGCTAGTGGATGGCACTTGAAGAAACCATCCTGAATGAGGAAACCCAGTCACAAAAAGAGGAACATGGTAAGTACTCACTGATATATGGATTTTAGACATAGAGCAAAGGATTACCAGCCTATAATTCACACCGCCAGAGAAACTAGGATACAAGGAGGATTCTAAGAGATTCATATAAGGTCCCTCACAGAAAGGGAAAAGGACAAGATATCCAGAGCATATGAAACGTGGCAGGGGGGGGGGTGTCAGTGAGTGGAGAGGGAACTAGGAGAAAGAGAAACAGAAGAGACAAAAGCATGTGGGACTAGGAAGATTGTCAGGGGAGGAATAAACTAGAGAAGAGAGAGAGAGAGAGAGAGAGAGAGAGAGAGAGAGAGAGAGAGAGAATAAGAGAGGGAGCCTTTATATGTTTGAAGAGAAAACTGAACCTAGAGAAATGCCGAGAGATCTACAAGACTGACCCCAACTAACAATTTCATCAACAGTGGAAAGGCTACCATGAATGCCCTTCCCTGATGAGGTCGGCGACTAACTTATCTACCATCATGGAGCCATCATCTAGTAGCTGATGGAAACAGAAGCAAACACCCACAACTAAACACAGAAGGAAACTGGAATCCAGATGCAGAGAGGGAGGACAAGACCAGGCTACAGAAACCCACAGAGTCAGCTGACCTGAACAAGGAGGAGCTAATGGACCCCCAGACTGATAGCTGGGAATCCAGTGTGGGACTAACTCAGACCCCCTGAACATGGGTCTCAGCTAGAAGGCTGAGAGTCTAAGGGACCTTGGACAGTGGAACCAGGATGTATTCCTGGTGCACAAAAGGACTTTGGGGGACACACACCCCCATGGAGGTATACTCCCTTAACCTAGAGACAGGAGAGAAGGCCTAGACCCTACTACAAATGACTTGACAGATTTAGATGACCCCTCCTGGAGGGCATCAGCCTACATGTGGAGTGGGAGGGGGTGATGGGATGGGAGGGTGGTTCGGGGACATGAGAGGGTTGGAGAGAAGGAAAGATGGAGGGAGGGAGGGAGGGATGGAGGGAGGGAGAGAGGATAGGGAGGGAGGGAAGGAGAGGGAACTGGGATCGATATGTAAAATAAAAATAAAAAATAAATTAATAAAAAAAGAAAAAGAAAACAATGCAAAGAATCAATGAGATCAAGGGTTGGTTCTTTGTGAAATTCAACAAAATAGACAAACCTTTATCCAAACTAACCAAAAGACAGAGAGAATATACAAATTAACAAAATCAGAAATGAAAAGGGGGACATAAGAACAGACACGGAGGGAATCCAGAGAATCATCAGGTCATATTTCAAAAACCTGTACTCCACAAAATTGGAAAACTTTAAGGAGATGGAAATTTTTCTAGATAAGCACCACATACCCAAATTAAATCCAGAACAGATAAACAACTTAAATACACCTATAACTCCTAAGGAAATAGGAACAGTTATCAATAGTCTTCCAACCAGGAAAAAAAAAGAAGATCTAATATCAATACTCCTCAAATTATTCCACATAATAGAAACAGAAGGAACACTGCCAAACTCTTTTTATGAGACTACAATTACCCTGATACCCAAACCTCACAAAGACAGACCAATTTCTCTCATGAACATAGATGCAAAAATATTCAATAAAATGCTGTCAAACCGAATTCAAGAACACATCAGAAAATCATCCACTATGACCAAGTAGGATTCATCCCAAAGATGTAGGGATGGTTCAACATACAGAATTCCGTCAAAGTAATCCACTATATAAACAAACTGGAAGAAAAAAACACACATAATCATTTCACTAGATGCTGAAAAATTCAACACTCCTTCATGATAAAGGTCTTGGAGAGAATAGGGATACCTAAGCATAATAAAGGCAATATACAGTAACCCAACAGCCAACATCGAACTAAATAGAAACTCAAAGCAATCCCGTTGAAATCAGGAACACGACATAGTACATGAAGTTCTAGACAGAGCAATAAAACAACAAAAGGAGATCAAAGGGATGCAAATTGGAAAAGAAGTCAAATTCTCACTATTTGCTGAAGACATGATAAGTGGTCCCAAAATTTATACCGGAGAACTCCTACAACTGATAAACATTTTCAGTAATGTATCAGGATACAATATTAACTCAAAAATATCAGTAGCCCCGCAATATACAGATTATAAACAGGATGAGAAGGAAATCAGAAAAACATCATCCTACACAATAGCCACAAATAACATAAACTATCTTGGGGTAACTCTAATCAAACAAGCAAAAGACCTGTCTGACAAGAACCATAAGCCTTTAGAGAAAAAAATTGAAGAAGATCTCAGAAAATGGAAAGATCTCCCATGCTCCTGGATAGGCAGGATCAGCATAGTAAATATGGCAATCTTACCGAAAGTAATTACAGA